TTGGTCCATGTCTGAAATTTAAAACAAAATAAGAAAAGAGAGAGAGAAGGATAAAAAACGGAGAAGGGTATTGATGAAGCAATTGTCGCCAGAGCGGGTGTCATAAAACCATACACAACATCAAGCCTAAGCATGAAGATTAAAGAAAATAATATACAAATTATAAATATCTCTGCTAGAGGCATAGCTTTGAAGATCTAGCTGCTTGCATACACATTAATAAAGTATGAGTATATATCATAAAGGGTAGTGAAATTTGCTAGTACGATATATTGTTCATTCTACTGTACACTGAAACATGTGTTGGTTACAAAAATGCTGCATAATGTATAAGTGTATGATATGATTGTAAAAGCAGACTGTCTAAGTAATTTAAAATTGAATTTGAATTGCTTTTAGAAGCTGGCTAATCTAAAACTCAACACTGTTATATCATCCAATCAATACAATAGGCTGACAAACATGTCGCAAGCATTTGACATTGTGAGAAACATTAGTAATATATCATAATCAAATATAATGCAGTACAAGAAAGATACAATACAGACAAATCTTTAGTTTGAAGATCAAACTATTATTGGAAAAAAGTAATAGCCAAACATTTACTATTTTGTCATCCGTGAGAACAAAATTTAAAATGCATAGTATAGTACACATTGCAGTAGGATGATGTGGATACATAGTTTTATACATGGTCTCAATACAATGCATGGAAACATATCATGGAAAGTGAATCAATTTTCAAGGTGATTAGTGATCTAATACTTATGAGAGAATTCAGATGAAATTTCATACAACCAATTTCGGCCCAAATGTTGAAAGCGTAAATTTACATTAAACTGCATCAATTTAATTCTCATATTTAAAAACATTGCTAAGTGTTAATCTCTTTACATTGCATTCTACGAATTTCTTCGGTCTCATTTCATTCTGTCATGCAATGGATGTAAATTTAAAATTCATTTTCATGGTGACATGATTTTTGGTTATTCTTTTTAGCTACAGCTAGTGACTTGTGTGAAATAAAGAGGTTGATATATGGAGCTCCAGAATCAGTGGGATAAATCAACACAAATAAGCATTTAGAATTGACTTTTACGTTATTCTGTTTTTCTGAATATAGAAAACTGACTAAATTAACACAAGTGAACCTACTTTGAATTAAATATCCCAAGTATGTGTAGACAAGATATTCAAATTCAAAAATAACTTTGGTCACAAAAATAGCGAAAAAAAGCCCTGGCTGCGTTAAGTAAAAGAGGAATTTGACCATCTGTCATAGACAACATTTTTTCTCTAAAATCAGAATGAGCTACCGGAAGCTCAATTTGACTTAGTTTAAAATGATTGACAAAATGAAGTACAAAATATTTGGTAAATATGAATATTGCAGTCACTTGGGATGGATGTGGCTGATTAGGTTATTATTGCCAATTCTAGCACTTCTTCAAGGCATTTCATTAACACTGAGGCTCTCTACACGGGAGAGGAATGGATAATGCTTTTCACAATAATCTGGTACAATAAAGTGGGGTGCCAGGACACTAAAAATTCAAAGCGGACAAGTAGGTATGCTGTTGGGTTTCACACAAAAAATGCATCAAGTAGCATATATGACCATGAATATGTGCCATATATGATATTGTCTCCAAAGAGTCGATTCATACCTTTTGAAAAAGAAACACGATATATCACATGCAATCTTGTTGGTGTTACAGTTTGAAAATGATCTGTTATGGTAATGAATCTGTCCAGGCACACAAAGTGTGGATAGGTATTCTAATTTGGGGCAATGAGATTGAAAGAATACAAATTTGGATCCAATATAAAGTAAATACTGGACGGTAAACAAGGGATACATGTAGTGGTTGATCAACGGTGGTTTAAGATAAAGGTGAGTTCTGGTTTTAAAAAAAGAAAATGAATTCTCACAGAATCAAACAAAACTTACACTGAATGTTCAAGATTACAAATAAATGTCATTTGCCAAACAATTTTGGTAGAAAATGTATACTGGCTGAGTAATGAGCATAGAAAGTTTAGGAAATCAAGGTTAGAAGCCCCGACACCATTTGTGTAGTCCCATATACATCTTTCTGTGTACAGTGCTTGTTACTTTACCAAGACTTACTTACATGCTACATGATCAACTTTTTCTGATCCATTCCACACCTTTTCTTTCACAATGCCATCGGATGACCAGAACTCGCCTTTATCTTTTATCAACAATAATGTTAACACATGATAATAACACAGATGAAAAACTTTCTTTCTATCATTATTCAGACAGTCAGTGCATTATCCATTTAAAAAAGATTATTCAAGACACTTGAAAAACAAGTTAGCATACATCATGAAGACTATGATCTTGCCAAATAAAATTTCTATAAGAATACAAAGTAGAAATCCAGCGTGAAGTATAATGATATGAATGGATCAAAACCTTCAATGTTCTAAGATTGATACAGCAAGGCACTAATACTGAAGAAGAGAAATCAAAAACAAAAAATGTCCATGCATTATATGGTTTTGCTCGTAAAATTTCTATGTGAATATAAAGTAGATATATGACTTGAAGTACAATTGGCTATGTAGTACAATTGATGGAAGAAGTACTGAAGAATTCACATGAAAAACATACAAAACCAATGTTTTGCCTTATGTAGAAATCTAACATGAATTATTATAAATTTGGATGGAATAGAATTGGCTATGTGACACAAGTGATACAGTAAGACACTTGAAATAAGTAGAGATGAATTTGAATGTAAAATGAAATATCCATGCACATCTTAGTCTTGCCCAGTAAACTATTTCTATATAAATACAGAGTAGAAATATAACATGAAGTATGGTAAAATAAATGTATTAGAATAGACCGGTCTACTAACATATTACAATTTTATGCATACTGTTTAAAGACAGGTTGTTCTTGACAACCAGTAAGCTTGTCTGAGGCTTGCCCGACATAGCAACAAGTAATGTATGCAGACTGGATTCCAAGTATTGTAGCTCATTCAGTAATAACAGGTAAATGGAATACCTCGTCACTAGACCCCCGGAAAATGTGGATAACTGTTAGTAAACCAGACTATTAGCTACATACATAATCCATTGATACAGCAGCAAGACACTTGAAATGAATACGGAAGAATTCAAATGAGAAACAAAATTAATACAAGTTGTTTGAACCACGCTTTTGCCTAGTACTATTTCTGACTCAAAGTAGAAATCCAAGAATAATTAAATGGATGGAATAGAATTGAGTATTGTGTACATAAGACTGGAAGTAGATGGACTATCAAGGCATGTGTAATTCAATGCAGCTATCACTTTATCATACAAAATTAACGGCACCATGTACAAAGAGAACACAGTACATGAACATGATTTTTAAGTGAGCAGACACTACAACCGAAAATTTCTATTCCTTCAAAATGTAATTCATGTTTTCATTATTACACTGTACTTCTACATATCTCACATATTTTCTCATAACAGAAACAATAATGATGAGAATTTATAAGGACTACACTATTTATTTTAATAGTAGCCAACATTTGTTAGTACCGTGAATTCTCTCCTAACACATACACTGCATTTTGCTACTGAAAAGGAATAAGAAAGAAATATTTCTCAGCAAATATACGACCCTTGCATTGACACTATACCACAGGCTTATTGACCTCATCATAACACGCTCATGCTGGTTTTTTCAATATTTAAACAAAACATACTGAATAATATAAGTTCAGAACCTGTAAGCCTTTAGCTAGATGTGAACTGGAAAGAAAAACCCAAGTCAAAGGTGTCTAGATGTAGCTCTTGTTCTGTTAATTTTAAAGGAAATTAATTTTTATTCATCATGCCTTCACATCAACAAAAATAGGATTAGACAGTTCTGACTTGCAGCCAAAAGGGCACTGGTATATGATAAGTAAAATTTGATCTAATATGATACAATATATTGACAATCTATCGGTGCTCTGCTGGTTTAATTCTTCCCCTTTATATTACTATAATTAGGCTTTAAATAAAAAGTTGTTGTATTGCCCTTTTCGACCGACCCCAAAATCTTAAAATCTACGGTCGGCTTTTGAATTAATTTTTTTTTTTACCGTTTCCTTTTTTAAAGAATGTTTAATGAATAAAAAAATATGTATTAAAGCATTCAAAACTCTAAAATATCAGCCCGAATAGGTAGGGAAAAAAAATGACTGACTGGCCCAGGTGCTAGGACCTAAAGGGCAATGCAACATCTTTCTTTTTTAGGCCTTATTGCCAAAATGAGTAAATCGCATTTTGGTTCCCAGCAGATATATCATCAACTCGCCATTGCTTCATCATGGCCTTATATTACTGCAATATCAGAAAACTTGTGACCTTTTAAAACTTCTAAATCATTACTGAATCCCTAAGTCTGAGAGAAGAAACTTTTACAAAATGCACTTATTCAAAGGTTGCTTTGCTCTCTAATGTACTTTTGGATGAATCACGTGTGAATTTGGACAACTCGCTAAATTCACAAACAATTCTGGGGGGGGGGGGGCGTTTCACAAAGATCCTAAGTCGAACTTAACTTTAAGTTGGACTTAAATATTATGGAGAGCCATTTGTAGCCTTAAAATAAAATGTAATCAAAATCAACAATTCAATTATTTTAGACTTTTCATAAATTCCACATCAAGAACATTGAAATCTCCTTGGTAACAGAAAATATAAATGTTTTGAATCAACATTTAATGTCTTTTAAACAACTTTTACAAAATATTTTCAATGATGCTAATGGCTTTCCATAACTTAAAGTCCAACTTAGAGACAAGTTCAACTTAGGATCTTTGTGAAACACCCCCCAGGCTTGATAGTACTTCACATATTCACCATATGATAAGCAAGACGAATGATCTTTCTCTCTTGATCTACGTAGGCCATAGATGGAGAAAAAGGATGGTTGTTAGGATGGTGAGGTGAGAGAGAGAGAGAGAGGAGCATCCAGGGTCTCAGCGCCAGATCCTACAAGTGTTGTCTTTGCTTCCTATAGGATGAAACACATCACGGAGGAAGAATTAATAGAATTAACATAATACAGAAAATAACTACCAGTTTTCAAAATTACTGATTTCACTGAACTGTTGGACAATTTCATCAGGATGTTTTGGATGATAAGGAGTTTACAGACTTCTGTGACACATCCAAAATGATTTACCTGTGTGACGGTTGTGGTATCCAAGTTCAGACACCTTTCTCAGACTGGCAGCTAATTTCAGTCGGCCAGGAGTTGTCTGAAATAGGCGTCTGAAACTGTCACACAGGTAAATAAGTTTGGATATGTCATAGAACTCTTTGTACAACGCCTACTAAGATTCTTGCAACCTCATTGGTCAATTCTTGATCACATGACATGCGCTATAATTACTGTTGAACGGCATCATTCTCCAGCCGTGCAATTCTATTTGATCCTTTCGCACCATTGCACGCTGACATCACCAACGATGTACAAAGTATATCGTGAGGTAAGTGACGTCGCCATGCAATGGTACCAATGGATCAAACAAAATTGCACTCCGCGTCACAATAAACATAAAGCTTGGTACGTGCGGCGCATGATATGCGCATGGTTTGCTGCCTACTTAATAGTGCGCGCTCACTATCAGCAATTTCATTAATTAAAAACAAACAAAATATCGCTGAGATTTAGGCCCAGGAAAACTGTTTTAAGCCCATTAACGTCCGAGGTATTGTATAAAACTAAAATTGAATGGACTTTATTTGTGCAATGAAACAAGATTTTGCATTCAGTGATTTTGCTGTGCCTCGTTGAATATAGCGTCTCTTATCTTTCACCTCGTGCAAAATCTTGTACCATTGCACTCGTGGCCATTCACTATTTGTATATTAAATTACTGATTACACGTCTTTCAAATCTGATGTAATTACAATCCTGCATGAACAATATACCCACCATCCATTCATTCGTATGTCACTGGCGCATTCTGTGATGGACAGTTGCATGTATTAACAAAATGGAAACAAGTTTTTGAAGTAGCAGCTCTATAAATCTTGAAGCAATTTTTCTCAATGGGACAACAGGACTTCTTTATGTTCACAAGCTTTGTGGATATTGAGGTCATTTGTATCATGTGTTAAGTATAAACTGGGGGGTGTTTCACAAAGATTATAAGTATAACTTAACTCTAAGTTGGACTTAAATAATATGGAGAGCCATTTGTAGCCTTTAATGTATTTTAGACTTTTCATAAGTTCTACATCAAGAACATGAAATCTCCCATGATAATAGAAAATATGAATGATTTGAATCAACATTTTATGCCTTTCAAAATAACTTTTACAAAATATTTTCAAGGATGCTAGCGGCTTTCCATAATTGTTAAGTCCAACTTAGAGATAAGTTCAACTTAAGATCTTTGTGAAACACCTCCCTGATCTACTACCGCCTTAGGGATCAAGATCCCCAGTTTAATAACTAGTCATCTGCATCTACACATTACCTGTAATAACTGTATCTCCTTCATAGTTGAATGCACAGCTGAATATCTCGTCTGTGTGTCCCTCTAGTGTCTGGAGACAGGTACCTGATTTAGGATCCCAAACCTTAGCTGTCTTATCAGCGCTGGCTGTCAGTAGCTTGGTACCTTGAGGGTTGAAGGAAATCTGGGAAACAGAAAACAGAAAAGAATATATACACCAACTCGTAATCTTCATTCAGCAACCGACACATGTAAACTTAACATTCCCAAATCTAGACTCTCAGCAGCTGAAAAAACGCTTTGCAGTAGCTGCATCAAAGACTTGGAACAGCATCCATCTTTCCATAAGGGAAATTACCTGTCTTGCCATCTTCAAAAGATCCCTCAAAACTCACCTTTTTCCCCAATGATCTATGTGATATACTTCCTGTACTGTACATTTTTGTCCTCTTTTCATATATTTGTATTTGTAAGCGCTATGGTACTTATTGTTTTTAGCGCTCCTAAATATTCGATATTATTATTATGAGTAATCAGTGTTATTATTAAAGGTAATGCTAAGTTTTGAAAATTGGATGGATAGCAATTCTTTAAAATGTTGATATACAGTGCGTCCCCAGAAAAACGAAACCGAGAATTATCAAGGTTTTATCATAACTTAATGACAATTATAATTAATAAATGACACATATTTGTAAAGCTGAGATCCTCTTCTTTCATTTTATGCACTGAAGTCATATGATGCATATTTCACGCATGAGTGATAAAAAACAATTTGAAGAGAGGAAACCAAAAAGTCATTTGGCGGGCGGTATCTGAATTTCAAAGAAAAAATAACATTTCTAGAAAGTTCAATTTCTGCCCTTTCATATGACACTTCAATCAGGAAGAATGAGCCAGGAATAACAAAATTCTGTGTGTCTTTCCATAATTTGATTAAACGAGTTCGTTTTCGCTGGCTGGCTGCCTGCCGTAGCAACAAACAGAGTTGACAAAAGACTTAACTCCGTTTCATGACGATCAGCCATGCATCAAGTCTTTAGTCTTCTTTGTACATGGCTGATCGTCAACAAAACGAAGAAGAAGAAATGGAAAAAACAACAAAATTTGTTCGACAAAAGCAAAGCTCAAAGAACTACACAAACCTAAGAATATAAAATGAAAAATACCTTCAAAATTTCTCCAGCATGTCCATCCAATTTGCATATGCAGTGATGGGTAACAGCATTGTAGACCCTTGCAGAACCTGTAGTATAATACAGAACAAAAAAGTTATTTTGATATCAATGCAACTTATAACACTTAAAATCATGTCCTGTAACAAAAAAACAAACTTACTATTTTAAAAATATCACTAGCAGCTTGTGTTCAATCTGCTCTTTACAAGTACCCTTACAATACTATCAAGTTAAGTGGTAATCAGAGGTTGTAATATTGGGAATACAAGTTTCCTTCTTTACTATTGTGTGATGTGTTTTCTATAATTTTGTTCTTATTTTTCTGTTTCTCTAGTTCATGAAGTAATAAACCTTTCAATAACACAACTAGATATCAATGCTCTACAAATTCCCCCATTGAAAATAAAACATATTCCTGGCTCAACAACAGGAACCCGTTTCACAAAACCTTTTTTCAATGACGAATGACAAAAATCACTGACAAATCTGCTGATAACCAATCAGAAGCAAGGATTTCAGTAGCTTATAACAAAAACTGTCTTTTGTCACTGATGACAAGTTTTGTAAATAAAAAAATAAAAATAAATAAAAAAACGTATTTTATGAGGTACCGTAATTTGGAGGAAAAAATGGATGGTTGGCAACTCTGAATAACCCTTTCAATAACACAACTAGATATCAGCGCTCTACAAATTCCCCCACTGAAAATAAAACATATTCCTGGCTCAACAACTGATAAAGCACAATCTTACTGTCTGCCGATGCTAAAGTAATGAACTGTCCAGTGAAGTCAAAGACCACATCCAAAATCTCGTCATCATGGCCACGTAGGTTACCCACACACTTGCCCATGGCAGTATCCCAGATCTTACAGGTCTTATCCATGGAGCCAGTCACGATGAGAGAACAATCGTAGTTGAACTGGGCGGAGCTGATCTCACCTCGATGGCCAATCAGAGTGTGGATGCGTCTGAATGATAAAGATGATAGTTATTGGTTAAAGATGCATAGTATTGGGCTCTGATGGGGAATTCCACACCATTTGGGTGTTTACCCGATAACGGGTGACGTCAGTCATCAGGATTAGCATTCAGCTTCTATAGCTTTAGAATTTGCTGTGTGATTTCAAGTATCTGAAAATGAAACGCGACACAGGTAGCAAATAAAGACATGTACACATGTATACGGCATCCATAGCTGTAGTACACTAACACAACATGTTAGTTTTCTTTCTTTTAAAAGATAGTGGTGTACTCTCACTGTCAGATAATTGTACCCTATTCTCAAAAGAATGACAAATTACCCATTCACAGTTCTAGTACCGCCCCCCCCCCCCCAAAAAGGTACTAATCCCTAGCAATGGGAATATGCCAAAATTTCTTCTCAAAAGCTGTCTAAATTCTTAACCATTGCCTTTATTGCTGCCAACTTATATACTTATTTTGAGTTTAATGTTTCATGTAAGGTATCACATATGAACATGTATAGCAATGTAAAAAATCACCTGGAAATTGTAGTAATTTTTAAAAATACTTGCATGACTGGCCATTGTAAGCTGACACAACCTTTTTTACTGACTAGGAAAGCTTCAAATATCATGAGTTTCTGAATTAATATTCACATGGATATTCTGGACCTCAGTTGGCTAAATTTTGCTTTTAAGGTAAATCCAAACTTGATAGCAAACTACTCTGGAATAAAGTAGAACAATCAGGGAAGTAGACTGGTGAAAGTTTGAATGAGATCGGACAAAAATGAGAAAGTTATGAATTATTCAAAGTTGTGAGGACAACAGGTATGGGCTCTTCATATAGGATGAATCTGTAATAGTCTTTATGATGTAGTGGCGGACAACTTTCCCATTTGTTCCATCAAACAAAATGATTAAAATTCCAATTGTTCAGAATCGTGCCACTCCGGAGGGTCTTTTCTCTTTAGAGGACCTATAATAATAAGCTTTCCATAATATATTTCGAGTAGTGCCCCAAAGGAGAAAGCACTTAGGAGAAAAACAGAAATGAAAATGTTTGTACCTGACAAACTGCAGAGTTATGCGGGACTATGTGGCAATCCAATGACCAAACTACCAATTTGAGATTTGCATAGACTTTAGTGATCACATATTTCGAACAATCATAACTTTCTTATGATTGGTCCGATTTTTTTCAAACTTTCACCAATCTGTTAATCGGGAATTCCTGCTTTCATGCAAATGAACTAATAATACAAGGGTTGGATTGCCCTTTAAGTTTAAACCTTACCTTGTCAAGGTCTACATTGAGATCAGCAAACCAATGTTTAGTATGATCATTCTGAGATATCACACACGCCATGTGTAGGGAAGCTAAATGTATAAAAAAAAGAGAGAATTTTAAGGGAAAAAAATAATTCCATAGTGAGCAATGATTTCTTTTTCTTTTTTGCGCCCACCCCCAAATTTGAAAATTGCGTCGACCAATATTTTCGCTCAGTGAGGAAGGGTTAAGGAGCATTCATTTTTTTCTTATTCAGCACAACCCACCCCCACCCCCCTTTGAGCAAAAAGTAAGAACAAAATTGAGGGGGGGGGGGGGTTAACCCCCAAAACACACCCCCCCCCCCCCCGTTGCGTACGCGCCTGCACATGCACATTACATGTACATACTCTGTGGCAAAAAGGTAATAAGAAAGGAGAGGAAGGGCAATGAAAAAAGAGAGAAAGAGACAGGGGGGGGGGGTAGCCTATGGCCCGGGTTCAAATTCAGTTCTCTTTAATTTATTAGACTGATGTTCTAGTTATCTACCATGTGATTGCCAAGTCATGATGTGTACGCCACACCGAATAGCGCCTCAATATTGTATTATTGTTGTAAAGAACTTAATGGCATGCACCCAGTAGATTTGTATCATGTGTCTGATCTTGTTATTGAAAACGAAATCAAACACATCATCATAATCTACACTGTACAGGGTGCAACCAATTTTTTTTAACAACAATTGAAATTTCTTTCATGAAGCCTAACAATACAAGCTGTTTTTGGTTCAAAGAGCATCCGAGAGACGATGAACAAATAAGAATAATAATACAACGTCATTATTGCGTGAGACAGTTCACTTCTATTTCTCCCCACAAAATAATCCGAACAAAAGAATCATTCGAGGAGAATCAAATGTTAAACGAATTTATCATGAGTCCTTGAAAAGTTAATTAAAACTGATTGTCAAAATAGTATTGAAGAGCAGCAAAGGCGAACTATCAAAATTGCCATGAGATATCAAGCTACATAGAACTATCTATGATCAACAAAAAGTTTTGTCTTGAAAACAGTCAGAAAACAATAGAACTAGAATGAATAAAACATAATGCAGAATTGCAGATGAATAAGACTGGAATGAATAGGACACAAGCTCATTTTTACCACATTAATCATATAGTACTAAATACCCAAGCAAAATTCAAGCCACATGCATATGATGGTAAAGATAATGATACATGACAAGTTGTCAGTTGTCATGAGTTTATTCTCTAGACGTATTGCAAAAATAATCAGGATAATAAGGATCAGAATGATACCACTACTACTAGGCCTACTTCTACATGTACATGTACTATACTACACTACTGCCATTGCTGATTATGCTGATATAATGATATGATAATAAATAATAAGGGGTAGTGAGCATTATTAGTGAGCATTATTTTTTAATTTTTTTGTCCCCTGAAGTAGGAAAATTGCGTCGACCAATATATTTCGCTCAGTGAGGAAGGGGGTTAAGGAGCATTCATTTTTTTCTAACTCAGCACACCCTCCCTTGAGCAAAAAGTAAGAAAAAAATTGGGGGGGGGGGGGGGGGGTTAACCCCCAAAACACCCCCCCCCCCCTCCCCCTGTGTACGCGTCTGCACATGCGTATTACATGTACATACTCTGTGGCAAAAAGGTAATAAGAAAGGGAAAGGAAGGGCAACGACAAAAGAGAGAGAGAAAGAGACAGGGGGGGGGCGGGTAGCCTATGGCCCGGGTTCAAATTCAGTTCTCTTTAATTTATTAGACTGATGTTCTAGTTATCTACCATGTGATTGCCATGTCATGATGTGTACGCCACACCGAATAGCGCCTCAATATTGTATTATTGTTGTAAAGAACTTAATGGCATGCACCCAGTAGATTTGTATCACGTGTTTGATCTTGTTATTGAAAACGAAATCAAACACATCATCATAATCTACAGGGTGCAACCAAAAATTTCTTAACAACAATTGAAACTTTTCCAGGAAACCTAACAATGAAAGCTATTTTTGGTTCAAAGAGCATCGTAGAGAACAAATAAGAATAATAGTACATCGTCGTTAAGCGTGAGATCATTCACCTCTATCTCTCCCCACAAAATAATCTGAACTAAAGAATCATTCGAGGAGAATCAACTGTTAAACGAATTTATCATGAGTCCTTGAAAAGTTAATTAATACTGATTGTCAAAATAGTATTGAAGAGCAGCAAAGGCGAACTATCAAAATTGCCATGAGATATCAAGCTACATAGAACTATCTATGATCAACAAAAAGTTTTGGCTTGAAAACAGTCAGAAAACAATAGAACTAGAATGAATAAAACATAATGCAGAATTGCAGATGAATAAGACTGGAATGAATAGGACACAAGCTCATTTTTACCACGTAATCATAAAGTACCAAATACCCAAGCAAAATTTGAGCCAGATGCATATAATGGTAAGCTTAAAGACAATGATTCATGACAAATTTTCAATTGTCATGAGTTTATTCTCTAGACGTATTGCAAACGATAATCAGAATAGGTAGGTGCAGAATGATACCACTACTACTAGGCCTACTTCTACATGGACATTACTGCCTTTGTTGATTATGCTTATAATAATGATATCATAATAATTATAATAATTTGGGGTAATAAGCATTATTTAGTTTTTTCCTCGGAAGTGGGAAAATCGCGTCGACAAATATTTCGCTCAGTGAGGAGGGGGGGGGGGGGGGGTTAAGGAGCATTAATTTGTTTTTTCTACTCAGCACAGCCCCCCCCCCCCCCCCCCCCCCCCCCCCCCCGTGGGGTGTGCTGAGTACAAAAAAATGAATGCTCCTTAACCCCCCCCCCCTCTTGAGTAAAAAGTCTGCCGTTAGGGCTAGATGACTTACCTAAAGCAATTAAATATGGAGGGTATAGTAGGCATACATCTGTTCTGAGGCTGTCATTAATTATATGCCTACAACAAAGAATGGGATAAAATGTTGAGATGATAAGGATTCACCGACAGAGATAATTTTCCATCAATTGATTTTTTTTTTTCTACAATTTTATAAATGCACTTACCAACAACAAACAAATTAGCACAGGATCTGAGGGGAAATGTAAGCCATGAATACTTGGTTTTAACAACAATGTGGACACGTTTGAGTTGTACAGAATACAAATCCTGGACTCGAGGAATGTTGCCACAGTATTTTGAATTACGAGTAATTCAGAAATTGCTCTCATCATAGATGCACACATGCAGCGGTGCTTTGAGATTTCTTCCAATGGTAATCGCTCCTTGCTTAACTTCGTAAAAGATACAGGGTTGGGGTACAGGTTGCAATTTGGTCTTAGGTTTGGTTTTGGGTTATGTCTGGTCCAGGATTGAAGTAAGGAATTGGTATAATAAAGGAAACCGACCAAGGGTAGTGGCTCAGCTGTAAACTAGATGGAACTTCGACTGTCGAAAATGATGCCTCCGCCATAGAGCGATTTCACAAACCAAAACACAAGCAATTTTTCAAATTCAATTTTAATTGTAATCCATTAACAGGTTCTCAGAATATTGTGATTACGAGCTATTTTTCATATACATGTATGACCCTTTTATCTTTGACCTCATGACCATAAAATCTAATCAGATCACTGGCTTTGCAAAATACATACATGTCTTGATTTTGATGGTAATTCGTCCATCGGTTCTAATTTTTCTAATTTTTGCATATATATATATAAATGAAGAGCCCCATGACCTTTGACCTTTAATCTCTTGACCCCCAAATCTAATCAGTTCATTGGCTCAGCAAGATACATACATGTACATGTCCGGCATTTGATGGTAATCTGTCTATCGGTTTTAATGATGTGATCATCAGCTATTTATGCATATATAATGGCCCTCTGATCTTTGACCTTTGACCTTGTGACCCCAAAATCAATTCATTGGCTCTGCAAGATACATACATGACTTAAGTTTAGCAGAAATCCATCAATCAGTTCTTGGGATAACGCGATCACAAGCTATTTTAGCATACATAATGAGCACTGTGACCTTTGACCTTTGACCTCGTGACCCCAAAATCCAATCAATTCATCGGCTCTGCAAGATACATACATGAATTAAGTTTGGCAGAAATCCATCGATCGGTTTTTGGGATAACGCGATCACAAGCTATTTTAGCATACATAATGAGCACTGTGACCTTTGACCTCGTGACCCAAAAATCGAATAACTTCATTGGCTCTGCCAGATACATACATGGTTATAAGTTTGGCAGGAATCCATTCATCGGTTCTTGAGATAATGCAATCACAAGAACGGGACGTACGAACGGACAACCTGAAAACATAATGCCTCCGGCTACTTTGTAACGGAGGCATAATAAAAATATACGTGAGCGGTGAGCTATTCAGCTCTGGAAAGCTCCAGAGTAGCGCTGATCAATAAAAACTAGATGGACCTTCGACTGCGCGCAGTCGAAAAAAGATGCCTCCGCCATAGAGCGATTTTACAAACCACAACAGAAGCAATTTCTAAAATTCAAGTTTTTTTATAATCCAATAACAGGTTCTCAGAATATCGTTATTACAAGCTTTTTATCATATACATGTATGACCCTTGGTCTTGACCTCATGACCCTAAAATCTAATCAGTTCATTGGCTTTGCAAGATACATACATGTCTGGAGTTTGATGGTAATCCGTCCATCGTTTCTAATAATAATGCGATCACAAGCTATTTTGCATACATATGAGCCCCATGATCTTTGACCTTTGACCTCATGACCCCAAAATCGAATCAGTTCATTGGGTCTGCAAGGTACATACATGACATAAGTATGACAGGAATCCATCAATCAGTTCTTGAGATAACGCGATCACAAGCTGTTTTTGCATACATGAGCCCTGTGACATTTGACCTTTGACCCCAAAATATAATCAATACATTAGCTCTGCAAGATACAAACATGACCTAAGTTTGGTAGGAAATTCATCAATCAGTTCTTGAGATAACCGATGAGAACGGGACGTACGAACGGACGGACAGCCCCAAAACAAAAGAGCTCTGGGGGTGTTTCACAAAGACTAAGATCGATTTTAAGTTGGACTTAACTGTGGCAGGCCATTCATGCCACTGGTTGCTCTCACCATTGGTCTCCTAATGTTGATCTTTAGATAATATTTTTTTCCTTCAATAATGAATTATCAAACCAGGTAAGTTCTGTAGATTTGTGACCACGATTTGTACGTCCCTTGAGAAACCAATGCCAGGCATGGTTAGAGGAACTAGTGGCATGAAAGCCCGGCCCCCCCACTCAGTGTTATTTAGGGTACGCATATGCTCGTTCCCTCTTTTTGAAAGCACCCCCTATCTGAGGACTGCCAACATTTCCGAACCCCCCTTTCGCGGGCTTTTCCTGCCTTGGAGACCCCCTAAATCAGGAAAAATGCTCAATGTACCCCCTAAATTCGGAATAATTTCTCAGGAGTCCAAAGAGATGAGAGAAAAAAAGAAAAAACACCCCTTTTTAAAGAAATCTCTGGGTGAAAAGTCAAATACATCCCTTTTTTTTTACAATTCTCGGGCCGGACTTTGTTGCACGAAAAAGTACCCCTTTACCGGACATTTTGGCAACATGCATGCGGTCATTCCGACCCCGGAGTGGGGGGGCCGGGCATGAAAGGCCTGCCATAGTTAAGTCCAACTTAAAGTCAATCTTAGTCTTCATGAAACACCCCCCCCCCCCCCTGGCAATATAACAATAAAATACCTGGATATCACTCTGAGAAAATCACACTTTTTATCACACCAAATCCTAAAAGAGCTCCTGCAAACTTCTGGAGCTACAAGTGTCCTTAAAGTCCCTCGGAGAGGATGTAAAACAGGAGAATTATAATCCCATTTATTGGGACACTCACCATGCTAGGGGTAGGAGTTGATCTTCTTGTCCGAGGTCAGAAGCGTATTGTATAAGAGGTCTGTACGGATGGTACACTATCAAACAACAATCCTGCAACAGAAGCCACATGGAATAATAATAATAATAATTGGATTTATATAGCGCCTTTTCCAAAGAATACAAGGCGCTGTCTCTTAGACTATCAACAATGTAGGGAGTTGTACAGTTAAGTTTCAGTTGTTTTTTGAAGAAATCTAGTATAGCGCATATCACTAACACAAAGAAAGTCCCCATAATACGCTTTAATAGGAAAGAATGAAATAGAGATAGGGCAGAATAGAAATGAACACCGTTCTGACACCGTCCTGTAAAAAGTCAGAAGCATATGGTATAATTGTATAAGAGGTCTGTGCAGATGATGGACTATCAAACAACACTTCTGCAACATGATTAAACATGGAAAAACATATAGATTAGTGTATTATATTAGCATATATACCGGTAGTGTAGTGCTGTTGCAAACTGCCCAAATAATAATTAATGTCAAGTACAAAATACCTAGCATGAGTTTTGTGTTGATCAGACCTTGAAATCAGAGGGAACAAAATAACCACCCTCTTCCTCAGGAATGGCTCGTTTTATTAAGATATGGTTTACGTCAAGTGAAGATGTATGTTACACCTCCACCCCCACCCCCCCCCCCTCCCCAAACAAAAAATATATAATTAATAAATACAAAAATTAAACAAAACTACATAACTCAACAGGATTAAAATTATGGTTAATTACCATGATTTCCAGTACGTAGAATTCACATTCCAGGATCTGCAAAAGAGAAAAAGTAGCATTCATGATATGCATTATGTATTGAACAAATTATGGTTCGTTCAGATATGACACAGCAACGCGGATGCTTTCTTCTTTACGATGACGTAAAGTGCTGCAGTACTTTTTTGGCAAGATATTGATCTTCACTTGTCACTCTCCACCCTGGGGGGTGTTTCACAAAGATTGTAAGTCGAACTTAACTCTAAGTTTCACTCAAATATTATGGAGAGCCATTTGTAGCCTTATTTTGAAATATATTCAAAAGCAAAAATTCAAGTATTTTAGACTTTTCATAAATTCCACATCAAGAACATGTAATCTCCCATGATAATAGAAAATGTGAATAATTGAAAAAACATTTTATGCCTTTTAAAAAAACTTTTACAAAATATTTTCAAGGATGCTAATGGCTTTCCATAATTGTTAAGTCCAACTTAGAGATAAGTTCGACTTAGGATCTTTGTGAAACACCCCCCAGGTGTAGTAAATGGGTACCTGGTAGGAAGACATTCATGGAATGCTTGAGCGCCTAATCATCACGGTAGCTTGGTTAAAGCAAAGGGTAACAATACGATTGCAGGGCCCTCAGGGAGACCAGTATTAATGCTAAAGAAGACTATAATTATACTATTATCATTATCATTATAACGATGGTTTCAGCAAAACAAAATAGTTTCTTACCGATTTGATGGTGTATGGGAATTCCTGACCAGAGAAGGCATATGGCAGCTTTTTCACTGTGATAATGGAAAATGAACGTTTTAGTTAAAAAGTCAGACATAGGAGATTAATGTGAACACATTGAACATTTTCCAAGAGCTTCTACATCAACAAAAAACAAAGCATTTGGCTCTGAACTTGTTGATAAGGGTCATGTTTCATACATTTGTAAATAATAGAGTTTGATATTAATCTAGCTTTGTTCGAGTTTGACATCATACACAAAAGGGTTCACTGATAGAAATAATTATGACATAGCACTATCTGAAGGCAAAGTCACACAATAAAACTATATAAAAATTAAAGGCTTGCTCGGATATGGAGCGGTACACCATTGGAAAAACAAAACACAACAACAACAACAGCATGTAAAATGAATGGCAATTGCAAGTATTCACTGAGCTCTTGACAGGAGCGTGAAACGTATTAAAGGTAAAGACCAGTTCTAGTCATGCGATTGCATTGTGAAAGAAACGTTGTGGAATCGATCAGAAAAGGTTGATCATCTAGCGTATAAGTATTGGTGTGTACTGCAAGGTTCTGGAATCATCAAAATGATAAGTCTTGGTAAAATTACAAGCACTGTACGTAGAAAGATGTATATGGGACTACGCAACACAATTAGTAGGCGGTTTCCCAGCAAAATTTGTATCATCACGTATTAGTCAAAACATATTCTTTCACATGATTGGTAATAAGAGCTTCCATTTCATGTTTTGAGAGGGGGCATTTCCAAAACTGGTCTATACCTTTAAACTTAATGTTGCGCTTTTACCGTGTCGTATCTGAACGACGATCAAATGAAATAGTTTAACATACCTACTGATTGACAGGCACTTATCAATCTACTATTGATGAGAGGCCCAAACTCCTGTGAAAATACAAGAAAAAGAAGAAGAAAAAATTACCCCAAATTACAAACTTTGTCCACAAAGATGAAAACAAATACTCACAACAATAGATTTTGCCTACACCAACACCAAATATAAAACATTTAAAACAAAAATATAAAACAATGACCCAAAATAATACATATTGCCAATGGAAATACAAGAGTTTGCTAAAATAATATATATTGTGCACACAGATATGTACTGAGGCCACAGAACACAAACCGTATATTTCCAAGTGCACATTAGGTATTGCTATCAGAAAGGCAAATTTTGCAAAGGATTATGGAAAGTGCTAAAGTTTTAAACAAATGATATTACAAACCTCCACTTTGGATGCTAAGAATAGACGAATCCCAGACAACTCGCCACAAAGACAACCCGCCCCAAGACAACCCGCCACAATACCCTGGACATCCCGCCACAATACCCTGGACAACCCGCCACAATACCCTGGACAACTCGCCACAACCTTTTCGGACAACTCGCCACACTTTTTCCCATCATGATTTCTAGATCTAAAATGAAATGAAATTGTCATTTTTCATGATTTTCGTGCTTTTATAAACACAGTCATTACAAAGAATAAAGAATAAAGTTGATTTCCCTAATTGTAACAATAATATATATTGAAATGAAATTGTCATTTTTCATGATTTTCGTGCTTTTATAAACACAGTCATTACAAAGAATAAAGTTGATTTCCCTTGTAACAATAATATATATTGTAATGAAATTGTCATTTTTCATGATTTTCGTGCTTTTATAAACACAGTCATTACAAAGAATAAAGAATAAAGTTGATTTCCCTAATTGTAACAATAATTGAAATGAAATTGTCATTTTTCATGATTTTCGTGCTTTTATAAACACAGTCATTACAAAGAATAAAGTTGATTTCCCTTGTAACAATAATATACTTTTGATCTAGAGGTCTATAACAGCTGCATTTTTCTGTCCCAGAATTTGTTTAATGGTAGGATACTGGAAGCACTGGCGTACTGATAGTGGGGGGGGGGGGGGGGGGGGGGGGGGGGTGGTGGGCAGTTGACCCGCGAAATAAAATTGGAATGTGGTTTATTTCTAGATTTTCTGGGTTAGTTTCATCAGAGGCGGCATTCTTGGTTGGGGGGGGGGGGGGACACTGTGCCCCCACTTTTCCAGGTTCCCCTAAAGTGCCCCCTTATCCTTTGTATTGTGGCGGGTTGTCTTGGGGCGGGTTGTCTTTGTGGCGAGTTGTCTGGACCCCGAATAGACAGTTAGGTGACATGAGAAGATAAGGATGGATAAATATTACAGGAGGGAGGGGGAAGGATTATGGAAAGTGCTAAAGTTATAAACAAATGATGATACAAACCTCCACTTTGGATGCTAAAAATAGACAGGTAGGTGACATGAGAAGTGGGTCTATACTCTTGAGGTTGTTCCTGCAATACAAAAAAAGAAAGAGGTATCATGATTAGCCAAACTTTGACACTTCTAAAATGCTGAAACTCCACATGCATATAGTTTGTCATAACATTCCCACGGTTAATTTTTTAATTTTATTCATGCTTCCACCGATCGGTTTCTCCAAAGTTTTGCTCTTCTTCAGTACAATTTACTATCAAGATGAGAGGAGAGAGTAGAGATGGAGAGGAGAGAGTAGAGATGGAGAGGAGAGAGTAGAGATGGAGAGGAGAGAGGAGATAGTAGAGATGGAGAGGAGAGAGTAGAGATGGAGAGGAGAAAGTAGAGATGGAGAGGTGAGAGTAGAGATGGAGAGGAGAGAGTAGAGATGGAGAGGAGAGAGTAGAGATGGAGAGGAGAGAGGAGATAGTAGAGATGGAGAGGAGAAAGTAGAGATGGAGAGGAGAAAGTAGAGATGGAGAGGAGAGAGTAGAGATGGAGAGGTGAGAGTAGAGATGGAGAGGAGAGAGTAGAGATGGAGAGGAGAGAGGAGAGAGGAGAGATGGAGAGGAGAGAGTAGAGATGGAGAGGAGAGAGTAGAGATGGAGAGGAGAGAGGAGATAGTAGAGATGGAGAGGAGAGAGTAGAGATGGAGAGGAGAAAGTAGAGATGGAGAGGTGAGAGTAGAGATGGAGAGGAGAGAGTAGAGATGGAGAGGAGAGAGTAGAGATGGAGAGGAGAGAGGAGATAGTAGAGATGGAGAGGAGAAAGTAGAGATGGAGAGGAGAGAGGAGAGATGGAGAGGAGAGAGTAGAGATGGAGAGGAGAGAGTAGAGATGGAGAGGAGAGAGGAGATAGTAGAGATGGAGAGGAGAGAGTAGAGATGGAGAGGAGAGAGTAGAGATGGAGAGGAGAGAGTAGAGATGGAGAGGTGAGAGTAGAGATGGAGAGGAGAGAGTAGAGATGGAGAGGAGAGAGTAGAGATGGAGAGGAGAGAGGAGATAGTAGAGATGGAGAGGAGAGAGTAGAGATGGAGAGGAGAGAGTAGAGATGGAGAGGAGAGAGTAGAGATGGAGAGGTGAGAGTAGAGATGGAGAGGAGAGAGTAGAGATGGAGAGGAGAGAGGAGATAGTAGAGATGGAGAGGAGAGAGTAGAGATGGAGAGGAGAGAGTAGAGATGGAGAGGAGAGAGTAGAGATGGAGAGGAGAGAGTAGAGATGGAGAGGAGAGATAGAGAGGAGAGAGTAGAGATGGAGAGGAGAGAGTAGAGATGGAGAGGAGAGAGGAGAGAGGAGAGATGGAGAGGAGAGAGTAGAGATGGAGAGATGGAGAGGAGAGAGTAGAGATGGAGAGTAGAGATGGAGAGGAGAGAGTAGAGATGGAGAGGAGAGAGTAGAGATGGAGAGGAGAGAGGAGAGAGGAGAGATGGAGAGGAGAGAGTAGAGATGGAGTGGAGAGAGTAGAGATGGAGAGGAGAGAGGAGAGAGGAGAGATGGAGAGGAGAGAGTAGAGATGGAGAGATGGAGAGGAGAGAGCAGAGATGGAGAGTAGAGATGGAGAGGAGAGAGTAGAGATGGAGAGGAGAGAGTAGAGATGGAGAGGAGAGAGGAGAGAGGAGAGATGGAGAGGAGAGAGTAGAGATGGAGTGGAGAGAGTAGAGATGGAGAGGAGAGAGGAGAGAGGAGAGATGGAGAGGAGAGAGTAGAGATGGAGAGATGGAGAGGAGAGAGTAGAGATGGAGAGGAGAGAGTAGAGATGGAGAGGAGAGAGTAGAGATGGAGAGGAGAGAGGAGAGAGTAGAGATAGAGAGGAGAGAGAGATAGAGTGAGGAAAGAAGGTAAATGCTAGGTTGAAAGGGTGGGGGAATGGATGCAGAAGAAGAAGAAAACAAAAACAAAAACAGAATAATAAAGTGTGATGATTTTTTGCTTACTTGGAATAAAATCTTTTAAAATAGATGGTTGCTGTGCTCACAACTTGTTGACGAACTTTGAGTTGTTCTCCAAGTGCCTGAATAACTAGAAATACAGAGAAACAAATACAATAATGGGAATATATTGCAACTTCTGATTGCAAATACAAATAATACACAGCAGTAAAGGGCATAATTAGTAAGAATTACCCATACAAGGTACATTTGGAACCGTCTAACATTAGTAAAATTACGTGTTAAGCAAAATAAATGCCTGGTCACAACGTCACGTGTACGCTCTCAACCAAACATTTGATTAGGATCCGCTTCATCATCTTATAAATTCACATAAACAGTATAGAAGTTGCAATATCCGTAAGGGTTTTTAAGGCTCATTAAAGAACTTTACAATGAGATGGTAGACTGGTCTTCTGATAACATTTCCTATCAAATTGATAGAAGATAGCAACTGCACAGACGTTGTTTCAATGAAAAAGTAAAAATCACACTGATTCTTTAAAAAGACCTTCACATTTCACAATACTACATGTACATGTACATGTATATCGCTTTGAGCTCATCCAACTGTAAAACAAATTTCCTGTTCGCAAGAGCTCCATTGGGAATTTTGCCAAAGCAAAATCCCTTTTTTTTTTGGGGGGGGGGTATACTACAGCTTTTTTCAAATCTTTGCAGATCTGATTGACCTTCATTCTGCTCCAACCTATTCTTTTCAGGAATGTGATGAAGCAGGAAAATTGAATAAAAATTGAATTATTACATATAATACAATCAAGAATCTCGACAAGTAAAAGAAAAGTGCTGGTATAAGGACTTCCATTTCTTCAAAGAATCCTTAAATTAGTTATGAAGCAATCAGGATAATCTGGATAAATGAGTCATTTCTGACCCTCATGAAGTCACAAGAAAGGTTTGAACAAAAAAATATGTTTCTCTTATAATCATAAAGATACTTCTTCTATTAAACTCTTTATGGCACTAAAATTATATCCCTGTTTGTCTAAAACTGTATTTCTAAAGGATTCTAATTTATTTCAAATTCTACAGTATCAAACTATTACATACAGGTGATAATAGGATTGCCATTTAGCTAGTAAGACTGTTATTTTGTATTCTGGATAAAGTATTGAAGTTTGCGAAAGTAACTATACATATAATTTTTTAACAATTTCTCATGGTTAATATTTGGTCATTGAATTGAACACTTTATCGGAGAATGGCCCAAATGAAGGTTTCACAACGTGCAGTGCAATCTTTCTTTTAAATTGGAACATTTCTGTTTGTGCCTGTCAAAATGCGTGGCATGCCTGCTACTCACATGCAAATCAGCACTCAAGGCAAATATAAGTTTAATTACCTCCTGCGTAGAAAATCATACATTTCTGGTATTCTTCCTCCGTTAGGATTTCTAGATCCGTCTGGCGATCTTTCATCAGAACTTGTTTGTCCAGAATCCATTGCTGACTGTTTTAACATGAAAGAAAATGACATTGTCATTGACAATTTCCATCCACCAGTACGATTTGGGAGACTCTCTAGAGACTGGACTCTACCATTTGAGAGACTGTCCGCCATATATTCATTCTATCTATCTATCTAAATATTTTCTCCCGGTTCGGAGGTTGATTGCAACATCTCTCCATTTCACTCTATCTTCTGCCATTCTGGTGCACTCTTGCAGTTTTAGTCCACTCCAGTTCTTGACATTCTCTTCCCAGTTATAGTGATTCTGGGTCTCCCTCTCGGTCTAGTTCCTTCCACTCTTCCCTCCAACACATCCTTTGACTTTTCTCTCCTTAAAGGTACTATGTCCCTTTTGCAGCCAACCTCAAATTCTGTAGAACTTTGCAGGAACTTATGAATATGTCATGTACATGTATGTCCTATCTGTGAAATTTAAACGTTAGCAGTGTCCTCATATTCAAATTATGCAAGGAAACCCGTTTACTTGCTAGACTTCACTGTCAGACACTATTGAGTGACTGACTGGCTTTTTTTCTTCTTTGGTAATAAGTATACATGAAAAGAGTTGTAAAGGGTGCATGAGCATTTGTCTACATCAATAACCCACTTCTTGTGATGGCCAAGATTAAACTGATTGAATCTTTGCGCAGCATAAAACGTCTGACCATTCGGTACAATTGTCTGAAAATCAAGACTATTACTTTTGGGCTCTATAGCCCTAAAGTCGATTTGACAACTAATAGTTGTTATTTTCCCACTTGAAGACATTTTCAAGCCCCACCTTTTTTAGGGAAGTTCTAAATTAGTATTATCTTTCAAATGCAGTTGGAATTTAACTTTTTCATTTTTTGGGCCTGTAAATGGGACATAGTACCTTTAAGATAAGATAATTTGCAGGCCCTAAGATAAAATTGAGTTCTGGTCATGTGATTGCATTGTGAAATAAACGTTGTGGAATCGATCAGAAAATGTTGATCATCTAGCATATACCATACCGGTACTGTAAGTGTTGGTGTGTATACTGCAAGGTTCTTGAATCATCAAAATGATAAGAAAATTGGCCCAGTCTTGGTAAAGTTATAAGCACTGTACACAGAAACATGTATATGGGACTACACGAACATGTGGCGTAAAAATCTGTCCCGATTTTTATGATGTCATATTTAAAATATTAAGGCATTTGAAGAGCCATGCTTTTCAGAGAACATTTTTTAATCTGTTGTTCTTCTACACATGCATAATACAAAAATATTAAGGCATTTGAAGAGCCATGCTTTTCAGAGAACATTTTTTAATCTGTTGTTCTTCTACACATGCATAATACAAAAATATTAAGGCATTTGAAGAGCCATGCTTTTCAGAGAACATTTTTTTATCTGTTGTTCTTCTACACATGCATAATACAATGTTAATGCGCTCAAATTATTTGTTCACCTCTTCCCAGAGCTCAACCTTCTCTTTAACTAATCCTACCAGTGCAATTTGTTTACGCCCTGCCATGTGCAAATCTCTTCGTTTCCAGGATATTTTCATCATTCTTCTGTAAATCCACATTTCAAAAGATGTTATTCTATTTTCCATGGCCTTGCTTATTGTCCATGTTTCTGCTCCATACAATAGGACAGACCATACATGACAGCTTTATACTAGTCTTAACCTAAGCGCAAATTTCACCTTTCTATCTGTGAATAAGTCTTTCATTGCCAGAAATGTATTCCGAGCTATTTCTATCCTTCTTTTTATTTCTGCTTCGCATCTGTTATTCTATTTTCCATGCCTTATTGTCCATGCTCCTGCTCCATACAATAGTACAGACCATACATGACAGCTTTATCCTAGTCTTATTAACCTAAGCGCAAATTTCACCTTTCTATCTGTGAATAAAGTCTTTCACTGCCAGAAATGTATTCCGAGCTATTTCTATCTTTCTTTTAATTTCTGCTTCGCATCTGGCATCATCTGTGATATTTTGTCCAAAGTACAGTGTAGATGTAATAACTGACCTGCTCAATGGAGACTTAGTTTACATAAAAACAAAATAATTGGATAGAAAATTGGGTAATTCTCCAGATTCTACCCAAAGTAGAAAAAAGCCTGGAAAGAGAATAGTTACATGTACGCACTATTCCTCACCTTTACACTGGCCTTAAAGGTAATACAAAGTTTTGGAGAATTTTGAAAATTGGGTGGATAGTGATTCTTTACAATTCTGATATATTGGGATGCCACTGTCGATGAATTATAAGCACTAGAAAATGTAGCCCCTTAAACACTTCTGCTTTTGAGAAAAATGGAATATAAAAATTTACAGGTGCTCCCGGTAAATTTTGATAAATTTCAAATAGCACCTACGGCCGTACAATGGTAGCTGCGACCATGAAACTTTCAGAATATGTAGTATTGATATATAATTTCCAAACGGAAATAGCTATTTGGTCGATTTTAGTCAAGAAACATTGTTTAATTGCTTAATTAATATCTTGACCTTGAGAGGGAGCTACACGTATACAACATAAAGAGTTTATTATTTACAATTTCATAACTTTGGACTCGATTTCAACCGCGACAACGATCACTGAATATTGTAGGAAAGCATATGCTTCCAATATGTTCATTTGAACCAAATTCATGACCCCATACCAAAATTTTGTATTACCTTTAACCTAAATTGAAATACTGGTAAATATGACTAGTGGCATTAAATTAGTGCATAGCCGGGTTCGTATTTAGACCAAAAATCAGAACACTGTTGATGAAAATGAACGACAATGTCAATTATATTTGTCGAGGCCAAAGGACAAATGCAAAGAAAGACTTTCTACCAAAAATCTGTACATATTGTGTAATATCCTACAAAAATCTAGAACAAGACATTGTCCATCTTAGCTTCCCATTCACATTCCAGACAGTACTTAAAGGAAACCTATTAACCCCAAAGAATAAGTGTAGGTATTCTAAAAAATGAAATGTATTCCTGCCCTTTGATGTACAATATTCCTTAGGAAAATGTACAAGATAAATGAAGATATTCCTGGCATGATGTGATGCCTTTTAGCATGACATGGGCGCAGCCATTTTCTTGAAAATGTGACGTACCTGTTGAAGTTGTACATGTATCATGTACCAAGCTTTAGTTGGAAAGAATTTTTTAATCAATGAAGAAACCTTTACTTTTCAATGAAAAAAAAACTGAGATGATAGAAATTATATTTAGTGACAAATAAATAACAGGGGAAAAATTTTAACTAAATTCATTTATAAATACTACACTATAGCAGTTGACAAATCTATTTCATTCATGAGAAACCTTCACCCCAGAAGAGCACCAACTTATTTATGCAATTTGCATTCTGGCAATTTGCATTCTGGCAATTGTAGTAGGATTTATATAATAGCAGGTGAATAAAATGCTTCATCACCACACACGTCTGGGAAAGAAGCATCCATAAATTTGAATACCGTACATTTACTTGATAAATGACTTCGCATAGTACGTCAAATAATCAAGAAAATGGCGATGCCCATGTCGTGCTGAGAAACTGTAGACCTACATTATTCTTGCTTTATACCTCTCTCATACACTTTGGTGGGGAATCTTGTAGATTAATGGGCAATAATATAAGACATCTCTCAGAATAAGTAAACTTATTTCTTGGGGTTCGGTTTCCTTTAAGGAAAGAAAGCGCTACAGCATAGCTTAACTTGCCAATAGGGTTTATCGCAATTAGCCTGTGTGAAAATAGTGCGCAAATACGCTTCGCTCCTTGGCAACGGAGATATCATGCACAAATCGCGTGACCGAATTCTATTTGGCACGACCAATTTCTGGGCAGAAAAATGCTCCGTCTTCTTTCGGAAATATTTTGCTCATCATTATTCTATATTTTAAGTGACTATAAAATCCTGTTAGAGGAATAATTTTATTTTCTTTTGATGGGTAGATCGCCAAATAAAAGAGGTATGAATTTAAAATATTAGTGATTTCCCCTTAAGTGACCGAATACCGGGCGCGCTACCCTATAATGTATTAACAAATAATGTACATAATTAGAAACAAAATCACTGAACAAAAACGGAGACTTTACTGTCGGGCATGCTTTGGAACAATGACGGCACATATAAGTTATTGTTCTATGAATGAATGATGAATTTTGCTGACAAAAGTGATGCATTTATATGATCTTTATTGACCTTAATTGAGTAAGGTCATAGCAACACAGCTGTAGTGAAAAGAACAGCCTTTGAGTTGTGTAGTCTGTAGACTCTTCATGTGCCATTTACCTGGACGGGATGTTTATATGATCCTTCAGTGAGATCATAAATTTTTGGCTATATAATATAGGCCTAACATGCAGCTCAACCCGATTGTTGTATAAAAGAAATAGTATACGTGAACTATGGCATCATGTTCTACCTCTACTCCGATGATGCTGAGACGCTCTGGTACACCCCAATCAACAGCATCCAGTCTGTGTAAATCTAGCGTTGAGAAAGGAACTGCCCTAAAACAGCAATCCAATGTCAGACTCTCTGGGAATCTTCCTATGACTCCAGGACAAGCCAGTTCTCAAACAACTAGTAAGAAATCTATGCGGCCTCTCAGTCAAGGGGGAAAACGAGGCAGGCCAAGTAAGATAAAAGAACCAACAACCTTGAAGAATAAAAGTGATCAAAGTGAAATTAATCTCGAGCCTGAGAAGAAAAATACCAGAGATCAGGACAAAGGAGAAAGCTCAAAGGCAACAGACAAGGGCAAAAAGAGTAGCAAAATATTAGAGGAAAAAACTTCTACAGGACTGACTACAAACTCAACTGAAGATGACTTGAGACTCATTTGCAACGGCTGCCAAGATACCCGTGCTGAGATGCTTATTGAATGTGAACTGTGCAATGAGTGGCTCTGCCCAAGATGTGCAGCCCTTGACCCGAAAGTAGTAAAAGACATTGGTAAGTGGAGTACTGTCCACTTTTTCTGTAAATCATGTAACATCGAGACAAAG